CCCGGCCAGGAGCTCAGTGTGCCGCATGAGCAGCCGTGAGAAGATGTCAGTGCAGGATCAGTCCAAGGAGCGCCCGGTGCTGGGGGTCCTGCCCCCCCCCTGGAGACGAGGACAGCGGCGATGAGGGGGAGACCCCTCCCCACATGGGTGAGGCTGTGAGCCCTCCACAGGGGGGGATCTGAGGGGGGGGGGGCTGCAGCAGCATTTCACCCCACCCTTTCTGTTCAGGTCCTCCCATGGAGATGGCCCCACTGAGCCCCCCCAACGGGGTCCCTGCCGGCCCCCCCGTAAAGGTAAAAATCCCCCACCCCCCAAGTTAGTGCCCCCATCGAGGCCGTTTGCCCCCCCGTAGAGCATGGGGGGCACTGCTCTCCCCCAGCACTGATGGGGCTCTGGGTTGAGTCCGACCCAATGTGGGGGGCTTGCGGGGGGTCTCTGCTCCATTTTGGGGTATCTGGGAAGTCGCCTCCCCCCCCCTCCGCGGCCCTTCCCCCCCGCCGGGGTCCCGGCCCGGGGCGGGCCCGCCCGGGCGGGTGGGGGGCCCCGCCCCCCCCCCCCCCCCCCCCGGATTTTGCTGTCCGTCGCTCCGCCTCCTCCCCCCGCCTGGACTCCGCCCCCCAGGTAAGCCCCCGCCAGGCCCCGCCCCCAGCCCCGCCCCCTCTCCCGATTGGTTGAGCTGTGGCCATGCCCCCCGTTGGCCCCGCCCCCATTGCCCCACCCGTTTCCCACCAGGCTCCGCCCCCAATCTTCATTGGCTCCACCCCCATGTGACTGCCATCCAATCCGTGCTCCTCCCCCCCTCTCTGGCCCCGCCTCCTTTCTCTCAGCAGCGTGAAGAACCGCAACCCAATTGGCCCACGCCGGGCCAATCAGAGCACATCTTTGGAGCTAGCCAATCGGGAAGGAGGGAGCAGTGCACGTGGGCTGGGTGGTGGCTCCGCCCTCTGCTCCCGGGGGGGGCGGGGCCTAGTTTAACCCTTTCCTCTCCACCTGGCTCCTATGGGGGCACTCATTTTAGGCTTTCTTTCACAAGAAAAACGTTTTTCTCCCCAAAATCGGGTGAGGGGGGGGGCCGTAGGGAAGGACCCCACAAATATGGGGCCTCCCCCCAGCGCTCGTTGCTCCTCCCCCAGAATAAAGAGCTGCGCTTGGCCCGCGTGCCCCCCACCCCCTCACACTGGGCTCCCTGTGACGCTGTCCCATCAAAGTGAGTCTGGGGCTCTGTTTGGGGGAGGGGGGGACGTGAGGGGTGGATTTGGGGTCCTAAACCCCCCCCCAACACACACAGCCCCATTGATGGAGGCCCCCCGGTGAAAGTGGATGCAGAGCCTCGGCCCCGCAGGTACGGCCCCAACCTCGGGGTGGGAGCAGATTTTGGGGAGGGGGGCGGAACGCAGGGAGAGGAGGGTCTCCCCGTGCCCCCCCCCCATTCCAGGACTTACCAACCCCCCGTGCGGGACGAGGAATCCGAGTCGCAGCGCAAAGCGAGGTCCCGCATGATGCGGCAGTCCAGGAGGTCGACGCAGGTCTGGGGGAGGGGGGGTGCCGTGGGGGGGGGGGGCGGGGGGGGGCCGACCCGGTGTCCCCCCCCCCCCCCCTTCTGTGATTCCCCTCCCCAGGGCGTCACTCTGACTGAGCTGAAGGAAGCAGAGAAGGCGATTGGTCGCATCGGAGAGGAGCAGCCAATCAGAGAGGGGGAGAGGCGGGAGGAGCAGCCCCCCGAGAGCACGGTGGGAGGGGGGGGGGGG